CAATTGATGCCCGCTTCTGTGTTTCCCATCGCTCTTCTCATAACAAAGTCGAGGCATACATTGAACAGAATCGGAGACAGAATGCATCCCTGTCGTACTCCAGTGGCAATTTCAAAGAATGGTGTATAGCCGACATTCGTTCTAACACAGCACGAAGAGCTGAGATACAAGTTACGTCAGCTTCAGCCAGCACTTGTCAAAAGAAAGGGTCCGATTCTTTTTGCATGACAACGCCCGCCCACACGTTTCACAAATCACTATCCATAAGAACGAATTGGGGGTTGAAGTTCTACCTCACCCGCCATATTCTCCAGACCTTTCACCAACCGACTATCACCTTTTCAAACATTTTCAGAACTTCCTTGCTGGAAAATACTTCATCAATCAGGACCAGGCAAAAAAAGCCTTCGTGGATTTCGTGGATTCTCGACCACCCAGTTTTTTCTTTGATGGGATTTATCGACTGGTGTCACATTGGCAAAAGTGTGCTGATTCGAACGGTGCTTATTTCGATTAAATCCGATGAGTATTAAGAAAGTTATGATCGTTTAAAGTGAAACACTCAAAACGCTGAGAACTTTCCGGACAACCTAATTCAGGCCTGACAACCAATGGCGGTAAGGTCCTTAATCGCGCATATAAAACTTATGTTCGACCGTAGGTGGAAAATGGGACTGTCGTATTCTGCCCTCATAAGAAAAAGGATGTTGCTCTCGTTGAAAAGGTTCAAAACAATTTACAAGAAAAATACTTATCCGTCGCGGAGGTTTTCTGTATGCTAAGATTCCAAAAGCATCAGTAAGGAATAAGTACTTCGAACTTCCAACCCTCCAATCTCGACGTAACCTCTTTGATTTATGTGTGCTCTATAGGCTTCTAAGAAAGGAGTCCGCCATGAATTGCTCTTCTTTCTACACCCTCCTTCCGTCTATTACTAGGGGTGCTCAGCAAAAGTTGTCTTTTCCCAGACCTAAAACTACTCTTAGACGAAATTTCTTCACTGTTAGAGCAGGACTTGCTTATCTGCGCCTTCATAAGACCGCGTCCATCCACAAGGCTCTATGGCATCCTTTAGAAAATCGCTAGCTAAACAATGGTTTGCAGTGGAGTATTTTCCCTTACCATTGCCGATGTACGCAATTTAGTGGTATAGTATTTATAAATAGCATCTGTTCCTCTCGATCTGTTTATACTCAATACGTCGCATCTTCCTTTTGGGAACCACAGGTTCTACTTTCTTCACCACTGTTTATGCGGTTGTTGATGGTTGCGCTATATATTTTGTCGTGTTTGTTTCGTTTTTGCGCTATTTTCCCTTGCGACGCTGCGTTGCAACTAGTACTGCATGAGAATTTAAAATTAAAGTAGTGTGAGCACTATGAGAATTTCTCGATCTCAAATTGTCCCGATGTCCACTTTGCCGACCAACTCTCAATTATATATATGTTTATGTACCTGGACCTTCTCGGAGTTTGTTATCGGAGAGCGTTTCACTCGTGTACTAATACTCCTTTTTTACAGTTTTTCACAATGGCCGGATGGTAGGCAGCCACTCAGTCGAAACATTGCGCAAATCTTTAAAGCCATCCACACGGCATGACCTCTCCATTGTTAGTATTTTATATGTGTGCCATGGCGGTGCATCGATTTCTCTGCGAGTGGAGAGTAGACCGGTGCTGGCTGTAGGGTCATTGAAACGGGTCAGTAAACCAGTACTGTTACCCAAACATGTTGTCTGCATTTTTTCTGTGGCCATGCATCGCCCCTTTGGCGCGAGTTTCTGTTACTCTTTGGTCCAATCTTCTACTGTTCAAGGCCGCGTTCTTTTAGCGATGTCTCGCATATACTTGCATGCGGATTTCAAGAGTGGACCGCCTAGAGCGAGCGCGAGGAAGAACAGCTCCTGACGGACGCACACAACGACTTGCCCGAGATTCGGCCTGCAGAACTATGTGTCTTCCACTCCACAATTCTGACCTTCCATCACCGCATTTAGACCCATCGGAATGCCGCGACACTTCCAACCATTCTCCGACAGTCACAACTCCTAGCTCGGTAAGCCAAACTCCTGTTCATTCAGCGACTGCTATAGCCACACCAGCCGGCTCCGCCGGCATGACACCCGCGGCGCGGCCCTTCCTTCCTTAGACTACAGCGCCCACGGCTTCAGTCTGCAGCGACCGCGCGGCCTCCCGCCCCGCGCTCTTACGCCTTCTTGCGCCACATTTTCATTGGGATCCGCCGCAGTTATCAGGCTTCTTCTTCTACCTGAACAACTGTCAACTGTTTCAATCATTCTTTGAATAATAGCTATTCGCATCTGCTACTGGCTAACTTTTCACACTATGTCATTATGCTGTATGGAGTGGTGTTAAGAGCGTTGACTCAAGTTGCACAGGCTGGAAAAGCGCCGCGTATCTAATCGCAGCATTTGATCATACGAATGCAGATTCAGGCGCGCAATGGCAGCCGCCGCCCGCAAAGCCGAGCCGTATCACATAGACGTCTGGAGTGCCTGGAGTGCTCTTGAACCACTTGAGGAATTTTTAGGTCTGGCCCCGCTCACCTTGACGCATGCCCTGCCCACAAACACTATTGGCGCTTCGATGCTTCTCAACCTATAACCCCTCGCCTGACTTCCTAAACTACTTTTTCCCTCTGGTGTCTGGATGTGCTCTGGAAAGCGTTATTGCGCGAATTTTCGTCCTTAAGTTTTATGCTCCACCCCCTCGGCTGCAGGCTCGGCGCCGTACACATCCGGGGCCGACCGTGCCCCGGCACATTCTTACATCTGAATTCACTCGCTGGACCATTAATCACTTATATTTGCACCTATTCTGCAGTGATTTTAGGCCAACCAACTACGACTTGTCTTATACTGTTTCCTTCATCTCAAAATAGACGCCGGCCCATTTCGTGGGCGCCCAACACGCCGCGAACCTATGGTGCCACTCTTCGCAAAGAGGATATTCTTCTGTTGCATGCGACTTTTTCCTTGCGGCCTCCCGTAAACATTTTCCGGGTCTGATCGACCGTTTGACCGACGCTTCTGGGTCAGTGCCACTTACCATCTTCCAGCAGTACGCCCCGCCATTTCGCGACATGTCTCCATCCATCTTGGCCCCTACATGCCCCTCAGCGCAGTTGGTGCCAACCCACCTGCTAGTTTGCTAATTCGCACTCTTTCCAGTGCTTCTCCGAGCTGCTTCGCTAGCAAGTTATGGTGAATTTTCAGTCGTCACCGGGAAGCGTCGGCCATGCCTCAAGTACGCTCGCCCACTCTTAAGAGTGACGCCTCAGCCCAGTTTCGGGTGATCACTCCTCTATCTTGGGTCAGTTAGCGGCCTTTTCGGTTTGGAACCTTGACGTCTGGCACCTGTTATTCACTGCCGGATACTCTTGATGACTGTTTTCCACGTGAACATCCCGCTAACTTTTAGGACGGCGCGCCCCGCCCACTGTGGCGGCGAGCGGCTTATCCATGGTCTGGGTTGGCTCATGTTAAGTTTTGGCGCCAGTTTGCTCTGCCATCCCCCGACCTATGACGTAGCTGACCTCTTCGAGTTCGTTCCTCTCGGCGATGTGCTAGGTATTCGTGCACAGACGAGTACAGCCACTGAACACTAACCACACGGACGTTAGGCCATTATTATAAATAGTAGCGAAAGTACTGCTTGGCACTCTGTCGGTATATCCTTCACCTTTTGTATTGAAGACATCTAGACAATCTATTGCGCTTTTAAAGATGATAGCTTTTTCACAATCTAGGTGACACACATGGTCCTAGACGCAATGAGCCTGGTATTGAAATGATTTCCCTTTGCAGCCAGTGAACGTCAAAGTTCAGTATTTCTCAGTCAAAATTTTTGTGTGACCTTTACGTTTACTCTACGTTTATGTGTACTGTATACGACTCTGATACTGTATTCCATGCGTAGTTGGTGCTTGAGCGTCGACTTCACCCTTATATAGTATTTATCTAAGCAAAGTTTAGTAGTCGCAAGCGAATTAAGGAGCAACTAAAAAATGCACAGCTCACGTAATGAAACAATGACTGAGAAAGTGACTTAAAGACTATTGACCAGAAGAGGCAAAAAAATTTAGCTGCCCTGAGTTAAGAGATTTAGGGCAGATATAAGCCTTAGAAACCTCGCCTTTTGTGCTTTAGAGCCATAAGCAAGATCGGATATGCGTGCAGATAAGAGTGGGAACGGGGCTGCGATCTTCCGGCCCACACCAAGAAACTCCCCGTTTTGCTGCCAAGGGCTCGCGTCTGAAAGGACAATATAGAAGCTAAACAGGTAGTAAGCAGAACAGGTGAAAAGAATGGAACAAAGTGGAAAGTACAAAAACAGAGCCGGCATGCGTAAAAGGAGGAGGAGAAGGACGCCGGGGTTCTCAGTGAGAAGACAACCTTGTTGGGGTACTGCATGCAATCATTATTGCCAAGACGCCCGCGGACAACTTTGTCGTTTAGTGAAGCTCGCAGTTTGCGACATCGGTGGTCGCACGATCACTAAATCCCGATGCGATCGACGCGTGTTTGATGTCAGGGAATTATGAGTGCTACCTATGAAGACCCAAGTACCGGATGCTCCTTCCACCTCAACAATCGCAAAGTTGCTATTTTTTATTAGCAGCTGTCTTTCAGATCCTTTGAGCCTTCGGAATGATTTACCACTACCTGTTCTAATGTCGAGCTCTCCAAGAATTCAGAATCAATGCAAGAAAGATTGCAACTCCTGAAACTGCTTTTCAAAGTATGATTTGTTGGATGCATTCTCTGCAACAACAAATTTATGAGGTAAGCAATTGGGCACCAAAATTCACTGAGATTTATTGGGAAATTAAGTACTATGGAGAAAACTATGTACATACAAAAATGTAAATCTGGCTAATTAGATCATATAATTACTTGGTAGACGGCTTGGATATCACAACTTTACTTTGGAACGTGAAGTCTCGTTTTCGATCCATTTGTTTTTCTTCACGTTACGATCTCACTAAAATGCTGAGTCCATTACTAACACAATGTTGCACTGTTTAAAGGATAACCAATAACTTCGGCCCCCTTGTTTCTCTGGTGCTATAGACTAGACCTGCTATAGGATTCACTTATTAATCGGGGTTAAATCGGGATAAGTTGAGCAGGCCTAGCGGTGTTGAAGATGACGCTTTATCGTGTAAATAAAGGCGGTGCAACCGACACTTTTGGAAGGGAAGCTTAAAGGTGCGAGGTTTTTTTCGAAAACTGCAAACCAACCCAGCAAATACGTGAGTCCTGACAACCTCGGATAAACAATTCACTAAGCTCATGACCCAGTGGTGTAAAGGGAAGCACACTACCCGCAGGGGTGAGGTCGGAGTTCGGGTCCTGGCTGGGAAGCTTTAAGCAAACTTGTGGTTAGTAAGGTCACTTGGGAGCTGCGATAATAGCCGAAAGGTTCACATTTCTTAGAAACAGTAGGGAATCGATCGAGTTCTATATTTCAAACATTTGTCTCTTAATTGAAAAGAAAAACGAGGACGTACACTTTTTTGATCAGCTCTCAACACAGCTGAGGTTGATATCGGCTGTGGCGAACAGATGAGGCTTGAGCGATTGTGATCGAACAAATGTGTTTCAGGCGGTTTCGCTAAGTTTTCCTTGATCATTCTTATCTGCAATGAACTATTCAATATGAAGTCGACTGCCGATGGGGTTTTCAAGTTGCATTAGTGTCTAATACCTCTCTTTCGAGTTCAGCAGTTTCACTTCTTAAACGATCGCAGTTAGCCTGGAGTTCAGCCCGTTGCTGTTGTTTTTCTTCGATTGCTTCAATCGCTCGTCGGAGAATCACTGCACGAGATGCCTGAAATCGGCCTTCTTTTCTCAAATTTGAGTAAAGGATAAGGTCTTCGCCGTTGATGAACTTTTTTTGAATATGAGTAGAGATCAAGAGAATAAAAAGAGTAGGAAATGGCCCTTGATAGGACTCCTCTAGCCCCAAAGAACTGCTTGGGTGAAAAACCAAAAAACTGCGCATTGGGACGAGTCAAGTTGGCTGGTTCCTTGTAATGAACCCTATGACTCCACCGGACACTATGAAACCTTCATTTTGAGAAACTCATCCGGAAGCACCGCTTTTAGGTGGAAGTCACTGAGAAAAGGAGGCGTTACTGGGGCGACTTTGCTGTTTAACTCCTTTACGTTGCAACTTTGCGCCGCAAAACCAGCACAAGATTGTCCACTGCGAACAACACTAGCTTTCCCACACAAACTTTCATATTTCACAGGTCATCGCGGATCGCTCTTTCAAGATCATCCCCCCCCCCCCAAAGAGGGCGCCCGCGATCAGCAGACGTGCAGAAGTCCTTCGCTGCCCTGGGTAGTGTGCTCCGCAAACGGAGGATGTTTCGTATGTGCTTGATCAGAGCGGCACAGCTAAGCAAAGATAACCCTAGGGGACATATAATCTAGCCATACATACCATGGCCTGCTTCTCGTTTTTACACAGTCTCTCTGCACCTATGCTCATACATGGCTCAGATTCAACAGGCCTTTGCGCTCCCGACGGATTTTGCTGTTTTCTTCACTAATGTCCCGTTCCCCCAAATGGTTAGCATTAGCGAACGGCAATCGTGGGGGAAGGGGAAATTAGATCTTGACTCAACCAAGAGTTACGAAAAGAGCTTCAAAAACCTACCCTTTCGTTTTGCATATCAGGTACTGCGTCCTTAAGACTTGTGTACATATCCTTGATATTATCTCGACGTCTGCGTTCGAGGGCATTATGCTGAGCCCGGGCATGACGTTTATGGTCATCAACTACGCCATCTACCGAATTCGGTCCACCCTGAGAAGAAAGCGGGGACTCCATCTGTTCATCCTGAAAGTAAGGAATCGTAGTGTGCACCTTCATTCCATCGCATAACTATATAATCCGGAAGATCAACTTCGTAGCGACGTACACAAGCTAGCTAGCTTTTCCTAGCGAATCGGCTCGATATGATATAGCACTTCCAGGTTAAATCAATTAGGTCAAGTGCCATGCGTGTAACGTTATGGCGCTCTCGCTGCGTCCCCACAATGTGAATCATTCATTGACGGACTAATGAGGCCGTTGATGCTACGGCTTCGCCACGGTAACTTGGAAGAATGTAAAAAAAAAACTACGCCGATCCCACTTTTTCATACTTTCGCATGGAAGCATGGGGTGGATGAAGTAATAATAATCCGTCCCTGTAACTCAAACGAAACTTTGTTACTTCTTCTGTCCCAGGACATCTAGTGAGCTGAGACTGACGAAATAAAAACATGGAAAATTCAGACAAGAATTGACAATATATTGGACATTAAAAACGGAAAATGAAAAGTCGAACTTACGTCAAAATCACTGTCGTCATCCATCACTTCCCTGAAAATTCTACAAGTTACAAGATAGCGAATAAATGAGGAGTTCAATCTACGCAACAGCTACTAGAAAAATGGCCGTTTCAGATGTAAATATGAAGAGTATACTGCAACCATGTACTATCAGTAACTTCATATGTTGAAAAAAAAACATTTTATTCAATATAATAAGTGATCAGATCACAGACGTTCAACACGTAAGCACATTGCCATAACTGAGGAGAAACACGGACATTTTACAATTTATACAATGCACATCTCAAAATGGGAAGGATGTCTCAAGGAAACTCGTTATCAGCGTAGGAGCGCTAGACAGTTACAACTGCGTAAGAGAGCGTAGACGGCAAGGAACAAACGATATATTTGTGATCCCTTAAGCAACTGTCCGTAGATACTGCCGCGCTCAAATCAAGAGTGTGGACACACCCTCTCCATCCTTAGGATATAATTCTGACTAAAGCAAAGAAAGAATTGTAAGTAAAAATGAGCCAGCTACTGCAGAGGCTTCCAAAGACAATGAGGCTTGACTAGACAAAAAACCAGGAACTATTAACAGAAGAGCTAAGAAAAGATCTTTAAGATTAGCTAGATACTTCGGAGGTTTCACAACACCTAAAAATCTCGACAACGTATAGAAAAGAACAGGAGCTGTAAAACTATTCGAAAAATCTACATTATTTACAATAAAGTCAAATACCGAATAGAAGTCCAATAGGTCTAGCTTCAGGAAATAGCCTACTAGGTGCTCACTTCTACTCCGCGCAGGTCCAGCCAGGCCTAAAGCCGCTGAAACGCTTCCAACAGCTACACCCAGAATCATGGAAAACGGACCAGATGTTCTATTCTGCAAAAAAAGAAATGAAAAGGTGATAGTAGGTGGTAAAAAGGTTTCAAAAAAGATTCCCTATGACCAAAAACAAAAAAACGTGGGTCAAAGGCTACTGCGTTAATCGTATGGGCAGAGCTTGTGAACCTCCTCAGTGAAGCGCCTCTTCTTTCCAATACCTCATAACGAAGGATGCACAAGTGAGTGAGTGAGTGAGTGAGTGAGTGAGTGAGTGAGTGAGTGTGTGCTGTTGTGAGAGAGAGAGAGAGAGAGAGAGAGAGAGAGAGAGAGAGAGAGAGAAAGCCATGGCTCTCTGTCTGTCCATCTGGTGATCGCATCATTAGGCGTTCTTGTAAGGGAACGTACAAGAACTTCCTGCTCGACTTATGTCCTCAAACTGGTGCCTGGCGATCGAACCTGATCAACAAACAACAGCCGTCCACCATTGTTCACAAACCAGTAATTGAAAAGTCATAGTTTAAGGTGTTCAGCCGTAACCCGTGGTTATAATCATGCTTTGGGCCAGACTTGCACAAAGGCAGATTCCACGATAATCGGGCGGGGACTCATCACCATTGTGCTCACCCTCCCGACCCCCGATGGATTTGTTTGCCTTGTAGTACTACAGTGAAGTATGCCAACTGGTCTGCACCCGGAATATGCCTCTGAATTTTACTTTGAACCATTTCATCTCATTAGCCAAGCACAACCACTTACCCAAATCATAATCAATGCCAGTGCTGAATTGGCAAGGTATACGTTGAAAAGAAGTAACACTAGAACTAATAGAGTCAAAACCATATTGAAGAAGTGTGCGATTGTAGGTCCTGTCAAGTACCTAAAACAATTTTGATATAAATTACATACTTAGCTGAGGACGCCAAATTTCAGCTCACACTGATTCTTTCAGGAACTTGGCAATTACGAATAGGTAATAGAGGCACGATAACGCGTAGAATATCGATGCGGCAAAAACAATTTCAAGTAGCCAGCTATTATAAGTGAAACATATAAAGCTGTAAAAAATAATGTGAGACACTCAATGATAATTATAGGGCGAATTCGAAAATATGGACTAACATAGCAATCAAGATCGCCCCGTTGAGATAGAAGCCGTTTCGTCCACAACTGTCTATTTGGGCTGTGCCTGAATGGATGAGCGTAAACTTGCCGACATGTAGCCAGATAAATAACTTTAGTTGTAAACAAGATTAAGCATACAGTATACAACAAATAACAAGGACAAGAGAGCTGTAGGACAAGGTTGTGCAAACCGATAGAACCAAAATGAGTAGACATCTAGTGGCGGCTATGAAAAACGAGAAAAAAAATAGATAAACGAGAATGAGCAGAATGTCATCGAAGCCATCCCAGCCAGCAGGAAAGTGTGGCGATAGAAGTAACTGTGAGTCAAAGGATGTTCGCCAGTCCCATGGGGAAGGAAATGCGGTGTGAGTGAACCAACCCCTGCGTGGAAAGGAGCTGTCGTATCCCAGAAGTCCTGGGTAAGCGGGCGCAGTTCGGCGACGAAAGGGGGGGGGGTACTCTGCAATTTTGCTACTTTTCGTCGCCGTGTCGAGCCACTAACAAGGGAATGGTTTCAACTTCCCATGGAACTTTGAATGGAGACCTAGGTACATCGATAGAGTCTCGAATGCTGATTACGAATATGCAGATTAAAAGTGCTACGGGACCTCCCAGACGAGTTCTGGGCGGTCAAAGTTTGCGAAAACTCAGTTTTGGCTCGTAAGCGCTGCTGATCGATCGTTCGGCGGTGCCACCGTGGCCTAATGTAACGGCTTCAAAGCAGCCAATGCTTGTGGGTTTGCATCCCGTTGGCGCGAAAGTTTTTGCTTCGTCTCCTATAAAGCTTTTACTCTAATTTTCGAAATTCTTCCGAGTTTACACCCCAGCAGAGCAAGTAGACCAAGTATATGACGTGAGGTATTTTGACCCCCTGAACACGAATATCACATCCGTTTGAATAGAAAACGCTTTGCCTCTCACGTTGTTGAGGTCATCAACTGAACGAGGGGTCCGATTATAGGAGACGAAGCAAAAGTCTTCGCGCCAACGGGATGCAAACCCACGAGCACTTGGCTTTGAAGCGATACAGTTACCACTAGACCACGGTGGCACTGCCGAACTGTCGATCAGCAGCGCTTACGAGCCAAAACTGAGTTTTCGCAAACTTTGACCGCCCAGATCTCGTCTGGGAGGTCCCCGTAGCACTTTTAATCTGCATATTCGTAATCAGCATTCGAGGCTCTATCGATGTACCTAGGTCTCCATTCAAAGTTCCATGGGAACTTGAAACTATCCCTTGTAAGTGAAGACCTGTGAAATCCTGTGAAACCATGAAATGATACTGAAGTTTGGAAAGACCAACTATCAGATCTTGTAAGGCAATGAAACACCATAAATACCAGCCGTGGTAGCTCGAGAGCTTACCCCAGCTTCAGTGTTCACTGGTTTCATCAGAGTGAGACGTGTAAAACGGAGATAGTTAAGCAGTGGAAGTGCAAACGCCCCACCGACCCTCTCCCCTTTCAGTCGCTGCACCTCACCTGCTGACGATTTTTTTTCACTACAGTTACACCAAAGAATGAAGCAATTTCCAATCGGCTACCAATTTTTTTGATCAATTGAAGTCGCAAACGGAAACAGTTGAAGCAGTAGGGCTCGACACGAAAAGCAGATTGCTACACTGAGACCAAAAATAAACACTACCCCATAATTTAAAGTTACCTGAGTAGAGCAACGTGAACTTTAAAATTGAATTTAATTAATTTGAAATTCAAAGTTACCTGCAAGTTTTTCAACAATGGGAAGAGCCAGAGAGACGGAAAATGCGAAGTGCATAAGGAGTCGAGCATTTGACAGCAATATCTAGAAGAAGCAATGGAGGTTGGATCTTGGGCTCAGTCGATCATTCGACCTGTTTCTCGAAAAACTCACCAAATAGTAAGCATGGAATACGTTAGGTCTTATGCTTATATCATACTCGCATCCGGACTTGCCTTCCATAACAATATGACCAGAAGCTGCAACACTACTATTTTAAACAAATACGGTCACTGTTAGGGAAGGGGTCGATAGTTGTAACTTCCAAATACTCCTACATAGTATATCATCTCATTTGAAAGGTGAAAGGTTTTATTCAAATAAAACAAAGAAGAAAATATGTAAAAGTAATATTTTGGACTTAGGTTACGTATATCCCTTCTTCATCAATAACACGCTCCCAGTGCCCCGAAAGCGTTTAGACCACTTGCGTTTAGACCCCTGTTTTTAACAAGTTCGAGTAAATTGCTGTTGATGCCAATTTCGACGACCGACAAATCGTCGTAGCGTTTACCGTTGCATAGCGGCTTCTATTGACAAAAGCAGTTGAAGCAGCACGGTCGACGGTAGGGTGGGCGAATAAGGCTATTCAACCTAGCTCCCAGTGTTGTTTGTCTCTGAGCACTACGCAGCAATACTCCTAATCGGAGCCTGACAGAAGAGCAATGGTGGCCTTCATGTAGCTTGTGTGGGAACCATCAATTGGTCGATCTGATTGTCAAGGAACAGGCAATATACACCAGCAGTGATGGTTTTGTTCACTGTATAGAACCCCTTTGAAGCCACAGAAATCTATTGTCACTATGATTATCCGGTTGGATCCACGTAACGCATCATTCCAGTTTTCTCATCTGCTTCAGGCGACTAGTGGGTTTCAGCTCGGAATAAAGGATCACCCACAAACGGGCGGGGTTCGTTTTAGTAGACGTGAATGGCGTCTTAGACGGAAAACTTTGTGACTGTGGGCACCGGATCGGTTCTGCGTTCGTGCTTCTGCAAAAAAACGAGGTCCCCAAACACACACCCAATAAATTGCAGTAGCTGTTCGGAGAGGATCCCCTTCCCGCTAGGCGATAAAACTTACGGCGGAACGGGGACTTTCAAAATAATCCTGAGAGAAAATCTACTTATCCGAAATTTCCACAACTGATGCAGTCCCCTGCTTGTTCAGCGGGTTTGCGGGTCGCCTTCACTAAATCTTTTGGGGAAAACAGAAAATCACATGCAAAGCAGTCCTCATCACTTGGCAATGCACATATTCGTTTGATATTTTGAAGCGTTTCAGATATAGAATGGGAGCACAAATTACTTTATTATATAGTAAGTAATTACACAGTATAGTAATTACAAATAGTAGTAATCAGTAATTATTATATTAGTAGAAAATGAAGGACCCACTTGAGTTCGAAGTGTAGAGAAGGCTTATGGTCATTGCTTTGATATCTCCTTTCTGAGTAGCAGAACGAGCAAGAGAGTTCGAATAGATGAACAATAATTGCAGATCTACAAAATTAATTTTACCCAAAATCAAATTCATTGCTTACTTTTCCAAAAAGGCTTTCTGCAGAACCTAGAAATTACAAGTGTTGCTCATTTACTCTTGTCGGACTAACGATCATGTGTCGGAAAAGAAGGAACACGCCCAGGTATAAAAGGAAAGGATAAAGTCTTCGCCGTTGATCAATCCCTTTGTGGGATGCGGCACGCATTCTACTTCCATTCAGAATCGTAGTGGCTTATTGAATGCGATGTGGCCTATACAATGACTTGCGGGGGCCAGCCGATGTACAAGTCAGTGTTTTATCCTCCCAGACGAATCTGGTACCAATTTACCGTCCCCGGAGGGTAGAAGGCTTGGTTGGCCTAGGCGGGAATCGACCCGGGATTTGAACCCAGGGCCGCGAGAGTGGTGAGCGCGCCACTTGCCACTGCCCCACCTTCTGTCCCGCGTATAGGCAGCGGCAAATAGCAAATCGTCTGCGCTCTTAGCCTAGGGAAACTAAGGCATAAGTACAGCGGTGAGAGGCCTACTTTGTCGTGGCAACGTGTGCTTTCTGGGTTATAGTGCATTCATAATTTGCGATCTGGTCGCTCTGATCCTGGGGTAAAAAAGATCGACAGCTCGGTTGACACCGATAACGAGCTTTGTGCTACCGATGTCAACAGTGCGCAGTCTGTGCCGACGAGCCGATCGTTGCAGTCGCGGGACCACATCGCCTGCGCGATCAGAACGCGCAAATCGCGAGGTTTGAACGCAGTCCTATTGCCATCAGCATTGAGGTGACATCGCGAGGAAGGCGAGAGAACGTAGAATTCTAACGAAATTATTCCCAATCGAGCTTTAAACTAACCACAACTCGATTTTAAAGACACGTCATACACCGCATACGGAGAGTGAAAGTCCAATTCGAAAATTTTCTTCGGCGTCTGAATTTGAATAAGTTCAAATAAATATCTATAAAAGCTCAATCAGATGGATGATGAAGAAAAATTCTACCTCTAAAGCACCTCGGTAAACGCGTGAGACCCATGGGTAATCAAACACGCCAATTTTCACAAAACTATTAGTTGAGTTTTCTTTCGAATCTGAGCTATCCACAGTGAGATTCTGCATAAACTTGCTGCGCTCTTCTTCGAAAAATTCTTTCACAATAGTGCGAGCAGAACGAGGATGAGCCTTCATCTCCTCCAACCCATATCTATACAGAATTCGAGTAGAATGCCTGAAAGGAAGAACATTGGAGCACATGCTGGAAGGCGGTTTCATTTACTACTAGCCTCGTTAGTTGATTACACCATAGGATGCATAAGTGATCTGCACTAGTGTCCACTCCGCGAATAGACCAGGAAGGGCGGTGGACCACATGGCTCTAAAGAAAAGATTTTATGCGGGGAATAAAAGTGAGAAGGAATAGAATATTCATTGTACATCTTTCGATAGAGCGCCCCTCGATATTCCCATCAGTATTTGCGTACTCTACGAAACGCTCCACGATCAAAAATCGTATGTGGCAATCGTATCGGTTCAAACAGAAAAATCAGAACGGTAAGTATCTAGGAAACGAAGAAAAAAAACACAACCTTTCGGAAATGCGCACAAATTTGGCCGATACCCATACTTTTCTAGTCACTCAAAACGCTGGTGCAATCAGCCGATGTCTATGTCACTATTATTATCCCCCCCCCCAGACAAATCTGATACCAATCTGCAGCCCACACAGAGTAGATGGCTCGATTGGCCCAGGAGGGGAAAGATCAGCGCCTAAGTTACGAGTAAGGCGGCCGTGAAGTGAACTGATGTAAGGGCGCGTTCAGACTTCGCGATCGCGCGACCCAGTCCAGCGATCTGATCATGCGATCGCGAAGTCTGAACGTGCTCTAAAGCGAAGCCCTAGGTGGTATGGATGAGAGCGAGGTTCCTCGATGGCAGACCTCCGCTTCAGAGCAATGCGTTCCGCCCAAATTTTCAATGCATGATAATAAAGAACAAGCAAGAAGGACAAGGAAGTGAGAAATTTGGCGCTATCCATCCTTTACTGCTTATCTCTTTGAAAATGAGGCCACACTTCAATCAGAATTCTCTTCTAGCCGTATCTCTGGCCAAAACTTTGTTGACAAAAGTACCCCCTAAACATGGTTACTGCAAGTGAGCAAACACGCCCTGGGAAACAAATGTAATATTAGAGTGAGGTGTAAAATTATCTCTTAGCATAAGTTCTCAGTAGATTTGGTGTCTAAGGATGGTTTGTAACCAGCGTCTGAGCCACCAACGCCAGAGGGTTTCTAGCCGAAACAAATATGATATTCGTGTTCAGGAAGTCGATTTCCCTCAGGATACAACCAGCCAACTCACCGCCTTTGAAAATACCAGTTTAACTCTAGCCTGTACTCCCAACTGAACGGCAGTGAAAGGGAAATAGCTCCAGAAAGAAATACAAAAAACGACAACGCAAGTGGACTCAACTGCGCAACACTCCAGTTTTCGTAAATATTTTTTATTCTGTTCATTTCGCAATGATAAATACGAAAGAAATAAAGAATCTTCCACTCACACCAGCTAATGCTGCCAAATGGTCCGGTACTTGAAAATCCTTCGAGCCACCACTATACGAAACCATTCCAACCTTGCGTAACTCATCACGACGAACAACCCACGACTGCTCCATGGACTCGTAAAATGCTACCATAGATTCATCCATTACAACGGCTTAAAAAACAGGCTATACAGACAGAGGTACACTCATTAGACAATGCTCATGCTTCGCGACTCGAACGATCCAGTTGCGCGACAACGTCACACCACGCTCAATAGGTAATCTTTGGACCGCCGCATGGGCGGAAAAATGCTATCCTGAGTTACGTGACATCTTGGACTTTTGTGCATGGTCCTGTTACGAAACCCTGTGACGTAAGACAGATAGAGGGCAGCTGCCAAAGCATCGAAACGTGCAAAAAACGTATGGCGAGCCAGGAAACGGGATTTTTCAAGGGGAGGGAGGGTGAGCTACTTATAGTCGGTGAAAAGCTGGAGTGAGCGAAGTCACAACGGCCATAGAGTGCCATGCGGACGAGAGAGTGCAGAGAAAAAGAGAAGATCGACGCGTTCAAAGGGATTGAGTTCAAGTTGTCCGTAGACTCAAATGGTTTCAAGTTGTCCGTAGACCCAAATCGCGCGGCTGATTCGCTCAAGATGCTAAATTGAACATAGCCTTACAGGTATAAAATAAAGTTAGACAAAGAAAAAAACTCAAAAGTCGAACTCACGTGAAGCAACAAGTGGTGCAGCTAAAGTTACTATTAGACCTAATTTGGAAACATCGAAATCGGGCACAGCTGGCAATGCATGAATGATAGTTCCGCCAAATGAGTGGCCAATTAAAACTATCTGCATAAAAAGCCGTGTTACAGCAAAAAGGCATAGAATCACATTAATCACTACCTTACGAGAATACTTTTTTCCAACTGCAGCCATTGCTTTCATGAGAAAGTCCCGCTGTCGGCTCACAACTGCTCCACCAAGGAAAGACAATTCCTGACATAATCCTCGAGGTAATCGTTCAGAGCACTTATGAAGACCCTCACATAAGAATTGTACCTCATTGAAATCCAGTGCATAAAAATGCATCCGAAAAGGAGCGGACGTCATTTCTGTCTTGTTCATCATAATCGATGCGACAGACCGCACCTGCAATTTTTCGCAATCAATAGGTAATCCATTTTCAGGAGGACAATAAAAATTGCAGTAATTGTTGAAGGAAAGTGTACAATACGACGTGCAAGGCAGGACGGATTTGGCGCGGTGCCAAACTCGTTTTCCACCAGCAGTTGAAGCGAGCAAGCGACAAGAATATGACATGTTGTCGTTCGTATCAGTCGTTTTCCACAAATTGTTGCCGATTACCCGCTTCAACAACTGGTGAAGAACGGGTTGCCGCCGCGTCAAAATCATATTGTCTGACACGCCCATTCATCAGCAGCGAACAGTACTGTCAGAAGATGTTTGAGTTGAAAATATTCAGGAATCAGAAGTAACTTTCCTCTGAGCATGTACATTTTCGAAAGCTAATATTCGACGAGCAAAAACACGGACCCATGGCTGCGATTCGCGAAGTTAGTTGGCTGCACAAGTCTAACTAATAACGCCACGGAAGTGTCATTTATGTCAGGGGCGGAAAAACTTTTCCCTTATGAAGGGTACCCTAAGTTG